TACTCATCCCTTTCCCTACCTTGGAGTGGGGCAGAAGAGGTGAAAACCTCTGGAGAAAGGAGAGCCACCAGACAATAATACAGTGGGGCCAGGACCTGGGGTAGAGTGCAATGTGTGTGAGCTCTAAAGGGCTGCAGAAAAGGGAAATTTCTGTAACCCCTGCTGCAGGTGAGCAGTCAGGGTGGATGGGCAGCTGGTGCCCTTTGGTGGTCTCTGGCCACATCCAGGAGAGAAGACTTCAAGGGCAGCTGTTGGACTCCCAGAAGCTCATCTTGGCAGTGTGTGATTTCTCCTTACAGGCATCAGCCTGCACAGTCTGCTCAGGGATTAAGCAGGCTAAGGCTTCATTGCAAATGCCCCTCAAAGTGAGGTGCCCTGCTACACCCCAAGGGCAATCCTGCTGCACACACATTTGCCTGAAATATCCTATGTGCCCATGGCATGAAGAGGTCTGGCAGGCAGCAGTGATCTCTGTCTCATCCCCTCCAGGCTCCAGCACGCTGCCAGGGTTTGCTCCAAGGACAGGCAACACCCAGCTCGTGCAGGTGGTCAGTGACACCTCTGAGAGCACTTGTGACCCTGGTGCAGTGCCCTGGCTGCATACACACAGCTGCTGTGCTGAGTCAGCATTATTTCAAGGTCTGATTTTAAATCCCTGCTTCTCAAACCCTCCACAGGCTTGCTCCAGTTATTTGTTTTTGGGGGTTTTTTTTTGTTTTGTTTTGTTTTGTTTTGTTTTGTTTTTTTCTCAACTTTCTCCAATTGCCTGCTTTGCTTTCCAGGCTGACAAATTATTTTACCTCTGCCAGCACCTCCCATACAAAGCTCTTGCAGAATAGATCCAGCATGCAGCTCCAGTTCACTTGTTCCTTCTTATTTCACCTCAGATAAAACAACTCACTCCTTCCCCTTATTCCTTGTCTGTTCCATGCTGTTCAGTGGGAAACAAATCCAGCAGGATAAGATTTTGTTGCAACCAGCTCACAGAGGGTGCAGGCACAGAGAGATCCTTCACAAGGTGTTTGTCTGTTCACAGTGTTTACCCTGACAATCATTTGGAACCTTAATCTTAGCAACAATGACTTTCGAGCTTGAAATTCAATAAACCAGCCTGGAAGTGCAGTTCTAAGGGCTGGCTAGCTAATAAAAAGCGGTTTAGCCGTTCCAATGCACCTTATTGATATAAATGGGTAGTGACATGAGCTCTGGAAAATGTACCCCAGTGCTGGCATCCACTGATGCTATTTAACCCTTGAAGGTTAAGGGTGAACAGCTTGGATTCTAGTCATGCACACTGATACTGATCTCTGAACCAATATTTCAATTCAGTTCTGTGTGAACTTGTAGCATTCGGCTGGGCTGAAGGAACAGCGTGTTACAGCATTGTGAGGCCACAACACCCAGTCTGGCTCACAAGTCAGCTAACAAGACCCAGTTTTGATAAGAAATATTTGGGAATATTTATTGTGTGTACCTAACCTGATATGATTCAGCAGCTTAAGTGACTGAGACTCTGATCAAACTTGCCAGCATATTAAAATTTGAATTAAAGCTTCACCTACTTCAGTGCTCTGTTCTAACTCAGTATTGATTCAGGGATTGCTTTCTGCTGGCTAAGGAAGCAGCTCCTGTGAGTATCAGATGTATGGGGGCAATTTTTGCAAGATCCTTGTTGAGGGCAGCACTGGTGCCTGAGCCTTCTGGCTGCCATGCTACATCTGGCAGCTCAGATGTGCAGGGGAGAGCTTTGCACAGTGCACGAGGTGGGCTGCAGGGGAAGGGAAGTGATCACAGGCTTTCTGACAGCAATGTCATCAAGGCTGACATTGGCATGAATAAAGCCTCTCTCCATGCTTCTCCAGAGCCTCAGTCCTGAGGGCTTTGGGACAAGCATCTGACAGCCCGTCCTGTCCCCATCTCATAGACAGAGAGGCAGAAGGGACTGCTTAAAGCATTCACACCTGGAGCCAATTTTGGTCCCCTTTTTTTGACAGAACCCTTCATGTAACTTAATTTGAGACTATCAACAGGTTGCACTTTAATAGAGAGAGATTAGCAGCCTCCCTCTAAGGTAGGGCTTTGGAGAGGCATGAAGGGAGGGAGGGGGCTTAGCCATGCAAATGCCCCCAGGGCCTGCAAGGCTCTGCAAAAACTGTCCCAGGGCATCCAGTCTCCGTGGCTGAGCCCCCAGTGGGGTCTGGGCAGATGGAGGTGTGTGACAGTGACAGGCTTGAAGCCACTCACTCAAAAAAGGGCTACCACTCACCATCCCTGAGCTGCTGAAAGGGGCTTGATTTTCATCACAGGCAGCTTTAGATATTAAAGGGATAAACAAATATAAAGGTCTGGGAAGGGAATTCTTATAAAGGGTAAAAGGAGAACAAACATGTTGGCAGAGAAAGTATCCCTGCATGGAGGGGAGTGCATATGCTCCTAGCCTGAGGGGGAAGAAAAACTTTGGGGCTAATATATGGCTTATGGCATAACAGTGCTGAAATAAATGCAACTGTGTTGTGCAGGCTTTACTAGCCTATGTACATGGATTTTTTTTTTTTTTTTTTATAGTAAGAGAGTGGCTGAGACACAGTCCAGAGCTGCAGTTTTTGCTGCACAGCACTACATCCTGGGCTCTCTTACAGTGGCCACCACTGTGACAAAGCAGCATCAAAAAAATCTGTACTTAATCGGGTCTGTGCTCCCCAACACCACATGAATGTTCCGCATGGTTAATAAATAGGAAAACTAAAAATATCCTGCTGTAGGGAAAACTGCAAACCTTGAAGTTCTTCATACAGGACTATCTTAATGCCCATTTGATTTCCTGTTGTAAAGAGCTTCCAAATGTTATAAGCTCTTGGTTTTTTTTCCAAATGAAAACCAGTTCAAAATCATTAAAGGGCTGAGCTAACTTGATACACGGTGCAGACCTTCACATCTCCCAGTAACCTTAAAACTCTCTGGGTTCAGATTTGCTGTTTCCATCCTGTTACTCCTGGAGCAGCATGAGAGTTTTTACCCTTGCCTGACAGAAAGCAACAATCACTGTGGCACTTTTAAAACTCAGCTACAGTGTGAAAAACCTCACTGAATTCTCACTGACGTTTTTATTTTTTTCTGCAAACTTAGGAAAGCTCCTGGTCCTCCTTTGCTGCTCTCCTCTTGGAAAATTGAGGTAGTAATAGTAACAATACTAACAGCAATAGGAAAAATAACGCTACAACAACAATCCTACCCTGATGGCTTTACTTGAGAGCAGAATTTGGCCCTGCTTTTGCAATTTTGCCTTCAAAGTAATGACGCCAACAACTCCTTGTGCAGTGTTATAATTATGCTGCTGTTGTTTTAATTTTTTGTGATTTTCTGGCACCTCCAGCACAGCAGTTATGACAGCAAACATTGTACAGCTTGACGTACTGCCAAACCTTCTCTGTGACGGTGAAATAAGCACATTTTATTTATATGTCTGCTTCTCCCTCCGTTGTTTTCATTTAAAACCGACAGTGTCACTGGCGAGGGTCTCCACTGACATGTAGGATTTCCTCGCCGCAGCCCCTTTCAATGCTTCCCCACACAATGCCACAGTATTGAGATGTCAGAGTCTCTGTGCCTGATAAAGGTGTCAAGAGAGATCCCGGCTGCGGCGACGACAGCGCGAACGCCGAGCCCGCCGCGGCGGCCAGGAGCGATCGCCGCCGCTCCCCTCGCTGCAAGCCAAAGCTCCGCACCGCCCGCCTTTCCTCTCACCCAGAAAAACTCCCCTTGACTCTTGCGCAGGTTGGGTTTTTTGGGCCCCTTCTGCAGGGCATTTTCAGCTCTGATAATATCTGCGTCTATTTTCAGCGAACGAGCTGCTGTGTCAAGTGGGATTAAAGCAGAGCTGTGACTTCTCTGTATGAGGCAGCTCAGCTCGCTGTCAGCAGTAAGTGATGCGTGTCGCTTCAGCAGCTCGGCCGTGTCGGGGGTCTCTGAGATGACCACAAAAACCCGAACTATAACTGTGATAGTGACTAGATCATTGCAGTGGTAACTGTAAATGTGACTAGATCCATCTAGTCAGACTTTATTAAAACAGCTACTTCAGTTGGCAGAGGAGACGCGCAGAGAGCCGTGGAGCCTGTCATGATTCCCATACACGTATCACAGCGATTATGGGTGTGGGGGAGTGAAGTCAGGGGGCTCGAAGCGGGTGGCTTCACTTCGGGGTACGGAGTGGCAGCCATGGAGGGGAAATGGGTGCATGGGCCATCTGCTGCTCAGGTGCCAGGCTGAGCCGAACTGCTGCACGCACAGAGCTGTCCCCAACCCACGCATCCCCCTTCCCGCCGCCTCTTCAGAAAACGCGCTGTTCCAGGGCCAGGAGAAGGGGACGCGCGGTGACCGCCGCGGGATCCAGCATGGGAGCACCGCGCCAACTTCAGTCTCACGTCTGTGGGAAGCGGTGCCGCTCCGCCCCGAGGGCTCGGCGGGCGCAGCCCCGCGCGGCTCCGGCCGCCCCCCCGCGCAGCCGCGGGGCCGGGCGCGGAGCGGCGCGGGGCGGGCGCGGCCCCCCGCGGGGGGGGGGGCGGGGCGGGGCGGGGCGGGGCGGGCGGTCCGGCCCGGCGGGCGGGGACAGCGCGGCCGCCCCGCTCCGCGCCCGCTGCGCTGGGAGCAGACGCAGGAGCGCCGCGGCGGCGGGCGGGCGGCAGCGGCGGCTCCTGCGGGCGCTCGCTCCCTGCCTCCCTCCCTCGATGCGCGGTGCGCGGCCGGCCGCGGGGCTTGCGCAGGTAGGCGCCCCGCCGCCGCTCGGCGCACGGCTTCGCCCGGCCCCCTGCACTTTTTTACTGCTCCCACCGCTTTTTTTTCCGCCTTTTTAGTGTTATTTTTCCTGTTCCTCCTCTGTGTGGGCACTAGGGGCGGGGGGTTTTCTCGTCCTCCTCCCCGCGCTGAGCGCCTCTCTCCTCTCCCGGCAGCGCGGCGGCGGAGCGGAGCGGTGAGCGGCGGCAGCATGCGGCGGCCGGGGGATGTCTGAGGCGGGCGGTGCGGCGGCGGCCGCGCTGCCCCGGCGCCGCTCCGGAGGCATGCGGGCGGCCTGGGGCTCCGTCTGGTGCCTGTGCCTGGCGGCGGCCGTCGGCGGGATGCCGGCGGCGCGGCGGGGCGGCGGCAAGGCGGCGGCGGCGAGGAGCGGCGGGCAGCCGGCAGGTAAGGGCTGCGCGGCCGCGCACACACGTGCTCTGCGGGGACGGCCCGGCCCGGCCCGGCTGGGTTCGGCGCTACGAGTCCCCGTCCGGGAGCGAGCGGAGCGCGGGGCGGGTGGATGGAGACCGCTGGAGGCGGCGGCGGAGCGGGAGTTACGAACGCGGGGCCGGGGCGGTTCCACCTCGCCGTGGATCGGGGTAGTCTGAAAGCCGCCCAGAAGGGACAAAGTGCTTTTAAGAGGATCCCTGTCTGCCAGGAGTTCTCTCAGCCAGGCGGTGCATGGGGCGCTCCGTGGGTAACAGCTGGGAAGATGCTTGCGTGCGTGTGTAGCAGCGCATCTTCGGCACACATCGGGAATGCTCTGACTGCGTGTGTTCGGGTGGGAAGAGTAAGGAAAGGTCATTTATGTCCTCATCTTGGGAGCAAAAGGGGTGTTGCCACAGCTCCGGGTAGGCACAGGCTGGGTTGCAGCTGAATGAGCGGCCGTGCTGAGAAGGGAAGTGCGTTTCGGGAGAGCCGGCGAGGATCTCCCCTGGAGTGGCAGCACTGCAGTTGCAAGTGAAAAAAAGTTAACACGTCGGGCAAAAGCTGGGCTTTGCTTTTTTCTTTCCAAGTAATATACGGCGGGTTTGAAGCATCGTGTCTCTGTGATCCGCCTCAGCTGCTACCTGAGTCCCTGTTTATTTTTCAAAGCTCTTTAATGGAAGGGAGCCCCTTCGCAGCCCCCTGTCCTCCGGTTTGCATGTACCCGGCAGAAAGTTTCCATTGTTCAGGAAAGGGTTCGAAGCCTGTTTGCCAAAAAAGTGACAGGGGAATAAATGGACTTCGTGGAGGCTGGGGGGTAGGGGGCATTACTTTCATACCCCTTTTGGTTAAAGCTATAAATCACACAGGGGGTTGGGTTTGTTTTTAAGAAAGTCCTAATAAAACACCAGATTCTTAGTGTAACTCGTTTGGCTCATTTTTCACAGCCAAAAGAATTGATTTATGGGGCAACATGGCAGGGACTTGGTCAGAGCAGATGAGGTCGGTGTGCGGAGGGCGGCGAGCAGCCTGTGCTGGCCACAGGGCTGCGAGTGACAGAAGCGAAGTGTCCCCAGTTCTCTCTGGCTTAGCCTGAGGTCCGTGTTGGTGCTGTCACTTTTCAGACACAGTCGATCCCGTGGGGGTGAGCAGCAACCTCGGTGGCTGCCTCAGTGGTCCCTGGGCTTCTTTCATTCAGCCCTTAGCTGGGGTCGACGATGTGTTAAGTGGTGCTAAACCCCTCCCGTGCTCTACGATACTTTGGCAAGTTAAAGTTTTGGGATCCTGTTGGAATCGTAGCAAGTGGCATACTCGGAGGTCACACAGAGGGAATCATCCTTCCAGTGATGTCTGTGAAGTGAGTGATGGGTTGGGGTTTCCAGGGCCTCCCGTGGAAATCCTCGGGACAGTCTCTGTTATCTCTTGGTCAGCATTCTCTAAATGAAAGATGTCACTGTCAACTCCTGCTCTGCTCCCTGGAATGGGATTCAGGGAACCAGGAGGGTTCCTGTCAACCCCAACCCCTAGCAACGTCTTCAAGAGTTGCCCCGTCACTGTGAGCTATTGAAAACTCGTGTGGATGGGAAGTATGAGGGGAGACAGAGCTTTTCAGTGCCAGTGGCTGTGCCACCTCTTCCACGTGCGTGGGGACGCGTGAAGCCACTGCTGCTTCCCCAGCTCTGTGCCAGAGCCAGCGGCTCTGCCACGGTCAGGGCACCCGCTGCCTGTCCGACCTGGGGGGGAAAGGTTGTGCAAAAGAAACTGTAAAGAATATAAACCTTCAGAGCCGAGTAAAAACACATTTTACTTTTTCAGTCTTTTTGAATTGAATGGTAAAAAGCAAATTCTTTCTCCTAGTCAAATGGGCCATGGGGTATTGGCTCATTACTGAGGGTTGTTGTTCGCTGGGCTTTGCATTTACAGTCTAAGGCCTTATTTTCCATAAAGGGGCTTGGAAGGATTTTTCCCCAGTGATCTAATTCTCCGCACGGGGCTGTGAAGGCTATAACAGCTACTGCTTTGTGCCTATACTCAGCTACATAAAACACACATTGAAGGGAGGCATTCTCGAGGTATGTGTATGTTTGCTAATATGAATACTGGCTATTAGCGGAGGTGGAGGGGGTGCAGGTTTTAACATCTCCGCAGGGAGGTGTTCGGCTGTTGGCAGGAAGGAGGCAGATGGCGGGGCTGTTGCTGAATAGAAGCTAAACTAAAAACACCAGGGGCCTCATCTGGGCTGAGTTTCTCTTCTCTCCCGTTCTCGGAGCTGCTGTAGGAAGAACAATGTCAAATTTTCCCCCTCCCTCTTTTTTTTTTTTTTTTTTTTTTTTTTATGAATGAAAGTAAGAGAGGCGAGGCAGGATTGAATGTGTATGTCATTCAGGGGCTATGACAGAGATGATTAGGGAGGTCAGTGAACTCCTTTGCAGCCTTGAGCATGCGGTCACTCTATTCAGCAGCCACAGAATAGACATCAATATAAAAAAGCCCGTCCAATTTGCATTAGTATTCAGATAAAGATATTACTTCGTACGATTTGTGAATGTCAAGTAATGCTGGCTGTTTTCTTAAGAGAGCAGCCCAACTGAAACAGCAGCATTTAACTTTTAAGAAATTCTGATAACCATCCTGTCTCCAGTAACTGGCTTGTGTATGTGTCTGCACACAGTATATGTGGAAAAAGGCAGTTTCTGGGCTCTTTAGGATTTGTGTTGCACTAGTTAGCTGTGAGGCTGTCTGAGTGCATTGAAAGAGTTGTATAGAGAGCTGCTAATGTTTGATCAGGTTTGTGTGGGGAGGGGAGGGGAGAGCTCTCCCAGTCTGTCAGGAGCAAGAACCAAAGTTTCCTTGTGCAAGGAGTGGAATTGTCACCCAGAGTTAATACTGCACAGGCAGTTTTTTTCCAGAAAAACAGAACAAGTACTATTTGGAGATTTTGTTGAAGTTTAGTGGGAGAGCATGTACCAATTCCTATGACATTTTTTGTGTGGAAAGAAGTGGTGATGTGCTGGCCGCAGTGTTTTTCATGCAGCTGATGGCAACTGGGCTCTTGCAGCCTTCCAGCATGAGCTCAGTGAGGGGTCCAAGGTGTAGGATATGATCTGTGTCGCTTTGCTTTGTGTGTGTCTGACTGTTTCAAAGTTCATCCTGAAATTATAGGGGTATTGAAGTGAGTGCCAAATGGCACTGGCTGTTCCTGGTGCTGGCCTTGGGGTTTATGTGTTCAAACCCTCTGCAAAGAGTCTCTCATATATTGATGGTGCTGCTTACTTTGTGCCCTACACCAGAAACCTTTAAGATTTAGTGGGTAGCTGTGAGTGATAGTTTTGAGATTAAAACTTGATCCATTTGTTCTCATGAACAGCAGCAGCTAAAGAGCTAGTTAAGTCTTTAATATTGAGACTAGCCTATTTTGTTATATGCAATAAAATGAGAAATAAAAGATGATGAAACATCAGTTCTTCAAAAAAAAATCTATTTCTTACCTTGCAAATAGTGAACTAGAAACTAAACTCTGTTGCAGTGCAGAGATGGACTCAATATATTCAATGGCAGCTGTATAACATGATGCTTTCTACATATATTGACAAGGGTCACTCCAATTAAATCTGAGGATTTTTTTCTTTTAATAAAGACTTTATTAGCAACTGCTGAGTAGGAAACATGATGAAAGTAAATCTGAAAATTGTGTAGCAAAGTGTTGATCTGCTAATTAAATTATGCAATTAAATAAGCCGCTCTGACTGGCATGTTAACTTTTACAACTCCCTCCAAAAAAATCCTTAGTGCTGTTTGGGAAGGTGAACCTGTCCTGAAGCTTGACTGAACGTGGGTGTTGAAATTAGGTGAACACCAAAGAACTCTTCATTATGGCATTCCCACTGTATCCAGACAATTTCCATACAGTGGGACCAAGTCTGCAGGTTCGACAAAGCTGAAATTTTTCATAAAGCTGGAGGAGCATTGCCCCCCCCGCCCCTTCTTATGAGGCTGAGAAACAAAATTTTTCCTTTTAAAATATCAGTGAACTTTGATATCCACCTAAATGCTTAGAAAGCTGTCCTTTCTGAATACTTGCTGTGTACATCTGCTATTCACTTAAAGGAATCCTAAAGGGTATCACTTAGGGATCCTAAAGGGTAGGGAATCAGCCTGGTTTCTGAGCAATTAATACAAATTTCAGTTTATAAAAGCATTGGATCAAGGTGTTTCTGACAGTGATATCTTGTTGGCATGCAGAGCTGTGACTGAAGGCATTTGCTGCACCTTAATTTTAGCTAAGGTTAGGGCATGGCCTGCTGGTGGCTTTTTCTGGCTGGTCATTGAAGTGTGCAGGAGCCTGAGCAGGAGCCATTAGGTTTCCTGGAGAAGTGGCTGTGTTGTCATCATGGCTTAGCTTTTGGCAATTTTTACTATATATAAGGTAGACCCATCAGGCTAATAACAAATTCAGATATTTATACTGAAAATAGAGTTGAAATTTCCTCCCCAGTTTTTTCCAGCTCAGCAGAACTTGATACACAGATAAACAATGGATCTGGCTATTTTTCTTATGTTTCCCTGTTTGAATAGATTTCTATCTTGTCCCTCATGGGCTACGTGCTCATAACTTTTCATGTGTCCTGGGAGTTTGTCTGACTCTGCATATCTGTTTCTTACTTTTTTTCTGATCCTTAAAAAACACTCCAGCCTTGAAATTGCCCGCTGACTCCAAGCCATTGAATAGAGTGATTTGATGTAGCTGTTAGAGTGTTTGCCATTTCATCTCTTCTAACAGCGATTAGTGATAAACTTGATTGTACATGTACCAGACTGTGTGCCAAAGAGGATGGTGCCTGGTAAAAGTTTGCCTTACACTGGGGTTTTTTTCAGCAAATGGGACTCTGGTTCAGCACAGCCACTCATGGTATGTGGCAGCAGGCAGCCTGGACTGTAGGAGGAGTAAATCTGAAAGCACCTCTCTGAAAACGCTGGGT